ATTGTCTTCTTCCCCAGGAACATCAACAGTCTTAAGTTCAGTTGCTTAACCTAATCCCAGACTTCTTGAAGGCTTTGTTCATATTTTCTTATTTGTTTTTCTTTGTCTTTGTTGGATTGAATTAATTCAAAGACCTTATCTTTGAGCTCTGAATTTCTTTCTTCTACTTGTTCAGTTCTATTGCTGAGACTTTCCAGAGCATTTCACATTTCTAAAGTGTGCCCAAAGTTTCCTGAATTTTTGATTGCTTTTCCTTTAAGCTATCTATTTTCTTAAATATTTATCCCTTCACTTCTTGTATCTCCCTCTCTCTCTCTTTTTTTTTTTTTATTTCCTTGCATTGTGCTTCACCTTTCTCTGGTGCCTCCCTGATTAGCTTAATAACTAACCTCCTGAATTCTTTTTCAGGTAAATCAGGGATTTCTTCTTGGTTTGGATCCATTGTTGGTGAGCTAGTGTGAGTTTTGGGGGGTGTTGAAGAGCCTTGTTTTGTCATATTACCAGGGTTAGTTTTCTGGTTCCATCTCATTTGTGCAGGCTTTGTCAGAGGGAAGGTCTAGGGCTGAAGATTATTGTTCAGATTTTTTTTTTGTCCTATGAGGTGTTTCCATAATGTAGTACTCCCCCTTTTCCTGTGGATGTGGCTTCCTGTGAGCCCAACTGCAATGATTATTGTCTCTCTTCTGAGTCTAGCCACCCAGTGAGTCTACCCAGTTCTGGGCAGGTACTGGGGGTTGTCTAAACAGAGTCCTATGATGTGAACCATCTATGAGTCTCTCAACTGTGTATACCAGCACCTGTTCCATTGGAGGTGGCAGAAGGTATAAAGAACTCTGTGAGGGTCCTTAGCTTTGGTGGTTTAATAATCTATTTTTGTGCTGCTTGGCCTCCTGCCAGGAGGTGGCAGATTCCAGAAAGCATCAGTGGTAGTAGTGTGGAGAGGTACCTGTAGTGGGTAGGACGCCAGAACTCCCAAGATTAAATGCCTTTGTCTTCTGCTACCAGGGTGGATAGGAAAGGTCCATCAGTTGGGTATGGAGATAGGCATGCCTGAGCTCTGACTCTCTTTGGGGAGGTCTTGCTGAAGCTGCTGTGGGAGACGTGAGTGAGACTCCCAGGTCACTGGAGTTGTGTACCTAGGAAGATTATGGCAGTCTCTGCTGAATCATGAAGGTTGTCAGGCAAGTGGGGGAAAGACAGCAGTCACAGGCCTCACAGAGGTCCCAAGTAAACTGAAGGGCCAGTCTCACTCCCACCGTGTCCCCCCCAACAACCTTGAGTCTGTTTGTAGGCAGAGGGCGAGATAGGCTTGAAAACTTGCCTGAGGCTTTCTCCCTGCCAGCTGCAAAAGAAAAGAGCTTTAGTTTCTCCCACTTCCTGCCAAGTCTGCTTCACACCCACCCCCAAGTATTGGCCAGGTGGCTTCTCGCTCCATTCAAATTGTTACAAAGTTGAGCTAGAGAATTCCTTTTCCCTGTGGATTTTACCCCCTACTCCTCTGGCCACCCTCTCATTGGCTCCCTGTGGTGTCAGGCAGGAATGGGCTGCTTGGGGACTCAGGGAGCTCCCAGGGCCTTTCTGCTGCTTCCTCTACCCCTGTATTTTGCTAGGCTCAGCTCTCTAACTTTACTTAGATCCAGGTAAAGTTGGAAACTTCTTCCACAGGAAGACCTTCAACTTCTCCAGTGGGGGTGTGTGTTTGGGAGAGGAGGGTCTCCCTTTCCAACTTCTGCAGTTGAGGTACTCACAGTATTTGGGGTGTCTCCAGGGTCCTGCAGGAACAGTTTGCTTCCTTCAGAGGATCTGTTGGTTCTCTTAGGATTGCCGGTTTGTTCTTGCAGTTGATCTGGAGCTTAAATTCACAGTGCAAGCCTCTGTATCTTGCTCTGTCCAGAACTGCAGTCTAGTCCTGCCATGATCCCTGTCATCACAAATGATCTTTTAATAACATTATGACTATCCATGCATATTCTGCAGTCAGATGGTGTACACTTAAGTACTGGTTGTGACATTAAGTTTCTGAGTGATACTGAGCAATTTACATAAGCCTTCTAGGCCTTGGCATTTTCATCTGAAAATATCACCTACGGGTTGTTGTAAGAATTAAATTAGTAAATGTACATAAAATACTTAGAATAACACATGGCACATTGTAAGTGCACCATAAATATTAAATTATAAAAAAGCCAAAAATGCAAAGAGATAAAAATTTATATTGAAGTAAGTAATGTGTGTAAAATTAATCACAGGAAGAGAGAATCATTCACAAGAACGTTAAATTTGAGAAGCTATTTGAGAATGTATTGTGTGGTGGGCTGTTTGCCATATGGCCCTCAAAATTCTCCCACTATGACTCTAGGCTTGGCCAGATTACCTGTTTGATCTACTAGAACTCTACAGAAGTAAAATATGACTTCAAAGCATAATCCTTAAGAAAAGTTGCAGGTATTATATTCACTTTTTTGGGACAATACCAGGGTAAAGGTAGATGGAGGTTCTTTACACGAGAGTCTAAGAACATTGTTTCAAGAGAGTGAGGGCAGCAGCTGACATCCACATCTTATGCAAAGCCATCTTAGACAATCTGTCTGAGTTGAGTGTGTTAGGGTTCTCCAGAGAATGAGAACCAACAGGATGTGTGTGTGTGCGTGTGTATGTGTGTGTGTGTGTGTATAGAAACAGAGAGAAAGATAGACATTTATTTTAAGGAAATGCTTCATATAATTCTGGAAGCTTAGTAAGTCCAAAATCTGTAAGGTAGGTCAGCAGTCTTGAGACTCAGGGAAGAGCTGCAATTTGAGTCCAAAAGCATTCTGATGGCAGAATTCCTTCTTACTTAGTGTAATGTCAATTTTTTGTTCTTTAAAAGCCTTCAACCAACTGGATGAGACCTACCCACATTGTGAAGAGTAATTCAGTGAAATATTTCATTCCCAAAACACCTAGACAGAAAGATTTAGAATGATGTTTGACCAAATATCTGGGCACCATAGTTGACACAAAATTACCATCCAACCAAGTTGACACAAAAATTAACCACCACATAGAGCCACCAGGATGACTTTTGCTTCATGAGGTATACACAGGAAAATCAACAGAACTGCCCAACTGAGCCCAGTACGCACTGCTTACCCAAAAAATTGGTAGCTAATAAAATGATTGTTGGTTGAAGCTACTAAATTTGAAGTGACTTTTTTCACAGCAATAAGCAACTGATACACATAGAAAAAAATAACTCAGAAATTAAAATAAAAAGAAAATATTTGCTATGAATTTTTCAAAATGCTTATTAAACATTGATAAAAAATAATATCACACATAGTATGAAATGTTGTTTTACAAAGAAGCTTGTTTGTTAACCTTGAAGTTGATGATACTTTATCCAGTGTTTAAAATTAATTATAAGTGGTGAAAATTGCTGTTATTGAATTGGGTAAAATGAATCATTTCTAAAAAAATTTCATCAACTTAAACTATTTTCTTGTTGAGTTAATCAGGTGTGTGCCTGTTATTCTTCCCGGGAGAATGAATAGAATAACAGTGCCCTTTTACATCTAGAAATGTATTGGAATCATAGGGAGTCTTCCGGCCTACTGTGCCCAATGTTCATTATACATTTTTCTTATTTTGAGTCTCTCTTTTGTCAAGTTGGGAATCACTCTGTTTAATATTTTCAAAGTTACTGGCTCAGCTCATTCTGCCATAGATAGAAATTTAACCACTTGCAGCAAGTAAAAATCTTGGACAATAAAACAATCTTATATATTATAGTTAATATATTTAATATAAATTTTACAGTACAGAGAACCAAACAGAAAAAAAATTTTTTTTAATTAGTTATCAAAGAAATTATTTGGCTTAAGAGGAATGTGTATGTGTATGTGTGTGTGTATATTTGTGATTAGAATTATAAAAAGACACTAGAGTATGATAAAATAGATTTTATTGAAAACTACAGGGATCCAAAAAATTAACTAACACCCATGCTGTGTTCCAAGTGTGAAGGCAAAAGATATATTATTATAAGTGTGAAAACTCAGAAAAATTTTTATTTGAGGGCTTATGTTGAAATATTTGCATGAAGACTCATCCTATTTAAGCTGAGAAGTTAATTATATTGGCTCTTCAAAATGGAGAAATCATTCTATGAAACACACATATAACTTTTCTTTTATCAGACTGAATTTGCACTACATGAATTGATGAATATTTGTTGTCAGGCATATGCAATCCAAGCTGACTTGAACTAAAAGACCTATGTGGAGCCTGCACTGTTTTATTTCCTCTTCAATGTTATCATACAAAGTATGTCTTTGCAGGACTATGCTGTACTTATTAATTTATTTCCACATTTGTTTATCAGTAAAAATAACAAATGGTGATGTTCTGTCCCAGTACTTAGTTATTGCCAAATGTGACATATTTGAAACACTATGCCAAAATAAATAAATAAATAAATAAATGGTATCTTATATTTTGCTACTTCAAAATGTTTGCACAAAGAAATAGCAGTAATTTCCTTCCCCAAGGATGCTGCATAATGAAGGTGTGTAGCTCTAAAAACCTTATTTCATGATCTAAATTACTATCTTCTTTATTAATGACAAAGATCAATCAAATCACCCACTTTCATCATCTTGAGTCAGGAAAATAAATATATAAATAAATAAAAGGAAGATTTTTTAATTGTTTAAATTTCTTTTTCTAAAAAAAAAATTGTTTGTTTTATGAGTTTGAAGGATCTTAATGCTCATACCTCTTAACAACAACCTCGAGATTACTAACTATTGTCAAACTTATTTTAAATGCATCCTGACATACTTGGTTGGTTGGCGTAGGGACAGAGACCATGATAGTAAATACCAAATTCAGAGCAAATACTTGCTAGGGAACCAGTAGAAGGTTATACCTTTAACAAAAGCTAATCTGTTTACAGTGTAATGGGTGGAAAATGTTAAATGTAAACGACTTTACATAATCTTTTTTTCCATTTAAGATCATATTACTCATACTATTACACTTTCCCAGCAAGGATTTATTTACATTCAGGCTCTTCCTAATGTCAAATGATTGCTGCTAAAGTTCCTCCAGGAAACTTCAGGTAAGAAACTAGAAAACATCATTATAATTAATATAAAATGTATACTTAAATTTATTTTCTATTTTCTTCTTAAAGAAATATCAATCATTAAAATGTTGGTTTACATTTTGGTTTGTTTCATTGCTTACCTATGGACACGTTACTCGTTTTATTTTATAATTTGAGGCATTTTTCTCCCAGACTTTATACTTCAGAATAATTTTACAGATATTGAGGGAACTGTGTGACAGAGCAGTAAGTTGAGAGTTTTGTCTAAGTGTGAACTCATAGGCTCTTTAGGGGTTCTTCTCATGCCTCTTGTTCCTGTGAGTGGAGAGTTGTTTGTTCCTTCATTAGATGACACATAAAGTAACACATAAGAAACTTTATATTGACATGGGGAAGACAAGAATAAGGTGCACAAGTAACCACTGTGGTCTTTAAGACAATACACGAATAGGAGAATGTAAGATGTCATCCTTAGTGGGTATTTTATTTTCTTAATATTGTCTTATTGATTTTTAAATATTTATGTATTTTAAAATCTATTTACTTTAAATGTAAAATAAGCATAATGCTGTAAGTCAAATAAGTTTTATGCAAAATCAATTTTATTTTTTTCTAAAGAAAATATTGTTGCGAAAGCACAATTAATTGTGTTAATGTAAATGCCATGTTTACGCCTTTATGTGCAATTGTTAACCAATAGAAGGTCTCTGAGTTACCAGTGGCAAATCCTTTCAGATCTGCAGTAACTTCAATTCTCACTTCTTCAGAAGAAAGAATTTGACTGAGGGGCATGACTGAAGTGAGTTTCAGAGCAGGGGTGGAAGTTTATTTTAAAGACTTTAAAACAGGAAAGAAAGGAAAACTCACTTAGAAGAGACTCAAATGGGCACCTGAAGTGACTTGTTTAACCTTGATCCTAGGACTTTATAGGCTCGCCTCTTTTCCATGGTTCTTCCCTTAGAGTTGGTTGCCCACATGTGCAGTGCCCTTCTTCCCCTTGGGAAGTGAGCAATCACAATCTGTTTAGGAAGTGCTATACATGCTTATCTGAAGCTTTCTTCCCTTTTATGGTAAAGTGTCCCTGGATGGTCATACTTCAACATTTTGTCTCTAAATGCAGATGCCCAGGAAGTTGCTGGTCTCTGGCATCTGCATTCAATTGACACTTTAATGTTAACAGCTGTGGATCATAAAGAGATTATCTTTCCCTGGCACTGGCTGCAAAATTATTATTTTTAGAGAGGCAGTGTGATAATTGTTGAACTGTCACCCCACATTCCTAATCCCTATCTAGCTGTAATACAATTAAGCAAAGTATACCTTTTATTATCATTGTCTAAGATGAAAATGTTTCAGTATACTAGCTTCTTCTGAAATATGTTAGTGTTATTCCCTAAACTCATGAGCTTTCACAAATATAGTAATCATATTACACATAGTTTATTTTTAATTTTTAATTTTTATGGGCACATCGTGGTGTTTTGATAGAGGCATACAATGTTTTTTTTTTTTTTTTTTTTTTTTTTTTTTGAGACGGAGTTTCGCTCTTGTTACCCAGGCTGGAGTGCAATGGCACGATCTCGGCTCACCACAACCTCCACCTCCTGGGTTCAGGCGATTCTCCTGCCTCAGCCTCCTGAGTAGCTGGGATTACAGGCACGCGCCACTTTGCCCAGCTAATTTTTTGTATTTTTAGTAGAGACGGGGTTTCGCCATGTTGACCAGGATGGTCTCGATCTCTTGACCTTGTGATCCACCCGCCTCGGCCTCCCAAATTACTGGGATACGATGCATTTCTTTAAAAAAATTTCTGCCAAGTACAGATTAGCTTTACAGTGATTTTAAGATCAGAATAATTACAAACACAAATTCAGACCCTCGATTTAGGCAAAACATTTTTATCTAACAACCTCTTTAAGACTTTTGTTGTTAGTATACCTTTATTTAGCTTTCTATTAAATTTAAAAACACAAATCAATCTAAAATGTAACCTCACTAGTTTGAGAAACTTTTTAATACAGATCATATTTCTGAAGTATTTATGCTATATCAGCACATCACAACTATCACATGAATTTATGCATCTATTATGTACTCTGTAAACATTAAAAAATGAAACATGTAAAAACGCTAAAGTTCATTTGTGGCATAACACCAATGGTCTTTGTGCACACTGCTTGTCACCCACATCCAGGTACGCTATACTCCAACGTGAGTATCAAGTATCATACCTTTCATGGAGGCTTTTCTATCCTCCACCCTACACTTAATCCACTTAATCCCTCCCAAAAGCTGTTTTCTATGGATCTCTGAAAACACTCCACCTATGTTATTTCATCTGAAGGCCCTTGTTACTTTTTCTAGAGAAGAGAAAGAGAAGGGATTACATGAAAAAGATAATGCATTTTAAACATCACTTTTACTCCAGGTAATATATTTGTCACTTAATAACTACAATGGTATTTTTTTAAATATATAGTTTTCTTATATGTAGTATGTATTATTATATAATAATATAAGGTTTTTATTGTATATTCATTTTTACTATATTAACAGATATGTTGTTTATCTTATTACTTTATATTCCCAAGCTCAAGTTATTTTAATTTTCATTTTATATATGAGAAAATCAACTCTAATAAATGTTAAGCAGCATAATGTTAACCTAGGATCCTTTGGCCTAATTTATTTTAAAATCTAAATTATTTTTATAAACTATCATGCTGACTATAATGTGCTACACTGATTTTTGTCATGAATATGTATGTAGTTTTCTTATATTCCACTGACAGACTATGAAATTAACATGAGAAAGATCTTTTGGATTCCTCTTCTACCTAGTAAGTACTGCTGTATGTGACTAACAGGTACCCAATAAACACATAGTGAAGCAGCCTAGGTCACTGGAGCAGTCCCCTTGTCTGAGGTATTACCTAAAGTTCTTTGTCTTAGCAACAATAAAATTAAGGAGTGTGGACATCGAGGGTGAGATTGGAGTGAAAGTTTAACAAGTGAAAGAGAAAAGCTCTACACAGCAGAAAGGGGGCTGTGAGGATTGCCATTTCTTGGTTGAATTAAAGGCTTTTATAAAGAATCCAGTGGGGTGGGGTGTTTCATTTGCATTTGGCACAAAAATCCAGTTTCTTATTTGCAAAAGATATGAATTTTTGACAACTCCACACACTTCCTCTAGTGCGCATGCAGGCCTTTAACCTGAGTTACTCCGTATTACCCTATTTCCCTTACTGCACATATGGCAGGAGATGGAATTTTCCATTGCAGACATGTCTGGTTCTGTGTAACTCATCTGTGCAGGTGCAGGCATGACTTATGCAAGCCACCCTATGTAAGTTATCTCATCTGAGTATGTCCAAAAAATGAAAGGAACATGCTAACTGAAGCACACCGTGTCTATATGAAACTTGCTGGTTACAAAAGACCAGAGTGTTTTATGGCTGACCTGGCCTCCTTATCTGTGCTTGAAGCTCATGCAGCTTGAGTTTTTAGGCTCCCCTTTTGTTAGAAACAATTTTGCCATGTTCTATCGGCCTAACGGGTTTCTTGCTTTCCCCTCTCTTAATAGTACCCTATATTTTAGTTGTCTAAAACTGGATCTGATTCCTTGACAATAAATAAAATGAAGAAAATAACAACAGTGAATCATGACCAATTTTCCATCCTGGTGACAATAATGACAATTTTTTTAAAGTTTCCTGCCAAGTCACTATGAACCAGGCTGACACCGGCAAACCAAAAATTTTGTGCACACCATAACATCTTCTGCAGAGAGGCTCAAATAGAAATCCATTCAAGGAATTTTATGATCACTCTGTTAAACTTTGAAAAGTACTTTATAAAAGTAACTGTTTCAATGAAACAGTTGATGTTTCCATAGAGATTATCTCTGGTGATGGGAGAGCTTAGAAGAGAAAATTTTATGATATGACTAAAAACATAGAATTTATAATTTCAGAAGTTTCACTAACACAAAAAGAATCACTTAGCTTATTCACAGACACATGCTTACAAACATATAATTTTCATGAAGATCACTTTAATTGAATTATTTGATTCAATATTATCCAATGTGCGTTACACAATTTTGTATTGTGTTAGCATGTTTTTGGCAGTCTGCTATTCATACAGATTTCTTAGCTGGTAAAGGGACACAATACATTCTGATGGGGCAATCTATCCCAGTGGTTAATACAATAGGCTCTGGGAGTCAGAGATCCTTAAGACTGCTACCACCAGTTCTTAACTTGTATTTATTCTTATTTTTATAGATTTAGGGGTTCAAGTGCAGTTGTGTTGCTTAGATACATTGTATAGTGGTGAAATCTGAGCTTTTTACCCATCACCCAAGAAGTGTATATTGTATTTTCATTATATCCAATAAGTAATGTTTTCTTATTTTGTTGTAGGAACTTGGCAAGTTATTCAATCTCTGGGCAGTGGTTTCTTTTTCTTTGATGTGGGAGTGATTATAGTACCTACCTAATTGGATCTTTTCTAAAATGAGCAAGAAATGAGATTAAAGTGTTAAAGACTTTGGACTTTGCATAATGTCTGACATATAACAAGGACTTAATATATGCTAGCAATCATTGAATGCTGAGTCTAGATGTGAAGTAGCTGTTTTTCATGTAGGCCATCTAGCTTTTGAGCAGCACTTTTGGTAGCAGTATGCTTAAATTCGTAATTCTCTTTAAATAGCTCCTATTCATTAGTAACATTACCTATAATCTCTCGCACATATTTTATCTTATTCATTTATTTATAATATTTTCTTGGTGATTAACATAAAGCATTTTTGTAAACATATTATTAAAGTAGTAATAAATATAAGAATACATGTTATACATATTATATTTATAGATATTTGAATTTAACATATTTATAGTAATATATATTTATAAATATTATTTAAAATAATCATATTTTAACTATTATAATGTTTAATTTTGATAAATGGAATTATATTAATGCATTAAAAATTGTAAAACTTACAGTATTAACATCTTTAAATTTCTGAATGAGTTTTGGTCCTATCTGAGGTTTCAATACCTAGGCCTGAATGTAGACTTGAGATATACTGTAGCTTTATCCAATTTATTTCTAAAAATTTAGCAATTATGAAACACACACAAAATGGTTGCAGGATTAAGTTCAAAAGGAGGATTAGTCAGCAGGAATCATAACTAAAGTACTAAAACTATAGCGACAGATTGGGAAGTAAGATGCATTACCCATAAATCTGTAATTACCCTAAAATATAGAGCCACTATGACTAATATCACTTTGTAGAGAGAAAACTTTTAAGGGTATTAATGGTTTGCCTCAAAACTGAGAAATATTTTTGTCTTTCCTTTTTCTTTTCTTTAAAAGCAGAGAAAAACATCTGCTTCACATCTCATCAGATCTTCCGCATCAAGCCACATCATGTTAAACAACATTCTGCTGTTCTCCCTTCAGATAAGTCTCATAGGAACCACTCTTGGTGGGAATGTTTTGATTTGGCCAATGGAAGGTAGTCATTGGCTAAATGTTAAGATAATTATAGATGAGCTCATTAGAAAAGAGCATAATGTGACTGTCCTAGTTGCCTCTGGTGCACTTTTCATCACGCCAATCTCTAACCCATCTCTGACGTTTGAAATATATGAGGTGCCCTTTGGCAAAGAAAGAATAGAAGGAGTAATCAAGGACTTTGTTTTGACATGGCTGGAAAATAGACCATCTCCTTCAACCATTTGGAGATTCTATCAGGAGATGGCCAAAGTAATCAAGGACTTCCACATGGTATCTCAGGAGATCTGTGATGGCGTTCTTAAAAACCAACAGCTGATGGAAAAGCTTAAAAAAAGCAAGTTTGAAGTCTTGGTGTCAGATCCAGTTTTTCCTTGTGGTGATCTAGTAGCTTTAAAACTTGGAATTCCATTTATGTACTCCTTGAGGTTTTCTCCAGCCTCAACAGTGGAAAAGCACTGTGGCAAGGTACCATACCCTCCTTCCTATGTTCCTGCGGTTTTATCAGAGCTCACCGATCAAATGTCTTTCACTGACAGAATAAGAAATTTCATCTCCTACCATCTACAGGACTACATGTTTGAAACTCTTTGGAAATCATGGGATTCATACTATAGTAAAGCCTTAGGTATGTAACAAATTTTGTTTTTATTACTTGAATTTGAACAAACAGAACTTCGTGTAGCCTCTTCCTTAGTTCCCTATGGCTATTCCTTTTAATTCTACATATTAATACACTATGTATTACTATAACTTGATAGCAGAAAAGATAAATGCCATTGTACTTCAGAAATATGGTGTGTTGTTTTCTAATTTCATGAACTTAAACTCAGTTCTTTTATGGATAAAATAAAGTGACAAATACTTCAGTTTAAAAGTAGGACTATATCTCATATAGATATTATGCTTAAAATAGTAATTGCCTAGAAACTGAAGTGCTGTGTGGAGAAAGCCGGAAAAGATTAAAGTTTCCACAAACCTATTATTAATACAGACTTTAGTATGCATGTTTAAGAACATACATATATGTGGATAATCTTAGATCACTGCTTAATAACTATTAAGAGTAATAAAGAAACAAAATAGATTAAGGTTTTATCATCTTTAATTGTAAAGTGTTAATTAAAAAAAAATCACCACCATTGATCAGGACGATTTATGTATGCTAAGCTTATTTAATTTGCTTAAGTGTGGTACGGTGTTTGCACGATGAATAAAAATATAATCAATGATTATTAGCATCAAAAAGCCTATACCGATAGTGTTGATATGTTTATGCACATATTTGTCTAAAAATCAAATAGGCTTTGTCCATTTCTTATACTTTTGAATTTTATCACTTATTCTTCATTTATTATAGATTTCTTACTCTTTACTAAGTACTCTCTTAGGAAGACTAAAATAAAGTCCCTGGGTTCACGGATTTCACAATCAAGCAGATAAATCAGACGTTAAAAGGATTATTTATTATGTGAAATGTGAACATGGAAATGTACAAAATACAAAATGTAGAGGACTTAGGTATTATGTGACAGGCAGAGTGTGGTATTCTGAAAAATTTCAGAGTTCAGGTGATGCATAAGGATATTTAAAAATACTGAATGTGAGTTTTCCTGCAAGGTAAGAATTGGGAAGGAAAAAGTATGCTCAAAGTCGAAGACATAACAGCACAGGTGCGATGAATATTTCTGATAACAGTATTTCTGAAGGTCCCAGTGTAAGGGAGAGAGACATGGGAAAAGATGCTAGTGACGTCGGAACCACAAGAATGAATGAATGAACTCAATGAATGTTTTCAAAGTCTCCTGTACATCATTCTAAAAACATTTTTAACCTAATAAACAACTGAGAACCATCTAAAGAGAAACATGACCTGATTTTCATTTTACATAAAACACTTGGACAGATGGCAGTAGAGTTGAGAGATGTGAGACTAGACTAAGGTATCACTCTATGAAAGATGTGGTAAGAGCCTGCCTTACAGGTGTGGCTGATAAATGGAGGAAAATAATGCACTAAGAGACCACATAGCAACACAATTAGGAGAGTAGGTGTTTACAGACAATATTCACATAGCAGTCTGTGGCCTGGAAAAGTAATTCAGTCTCCTTGCACCTACACTTCACTTACCTCGTTTCTGACAGGGCTATTAAAAGGACTAAATTAGTTTACATCTGAAAGGACTTTAGAATAGTGTGGCACAATCAACCATGATAGTGAATATAGAAAAGTAAAAATGTGGGAGTGGGAATACTGCATTTAATTGTGAACATGTTGTGTATGTGATACTTTGGGGAATATTTAGCGAAATCCAGTAACAGCTGGATATATGAGATGAGTTCTCAGAGATAATCCATGGGTTAGAGATTTAAGTGTCATCTAAATAAAGATGATACATGTATAATTTTCTCTGGCTTATGGTAACCTAATTTTCATGTTTTCTGATTTCTTACTACATGCAGGTCACCTACAATTTTTATGCTTTCATACATAACATATTTCTGAGATTGTCCACATTCAAAAGATTTAAAGTCAAGCAATGCATTTACATATTCTAAACATGATTATCTTCCCAGGCAGCAAAAATTATTTCACAATACACAGTTACAGCTGATATTTTGTACATAGTCTTATGTGTTATATATTTAATGTTTACTTTGCTCTTTTGCTGAACCTCAGAAATGCAAACATAACCCAATGATAATCAGATAGAGGAGGAATATTTTCCAATTTTGACAAGTTGTATTTCTCTAAGTATTTTTATCTTATTGACATAGATGTACATATTTTGGGGAAACGTGATATTTTGATCCATATAATGTATAAAGATCAAATGAGGATAATTGGGATATTTATCACCTTAAATATCCATCTTTTCTTGATAACAGGAACATTTAAATTATTCTAGCAATTTTGAAACGTACAACAGATTGCTAACTATAGTCACCATACTGGTCTATCAAAGGCTGGGCTTTATTTCTTCTATTCAACTGTACATTTGTACCCATTAATCAAATTCTCGTCATCTTCCCTCTCCTTACTCTTTTCAGCTATTAAGTTTTGAGGCTGTAGCTTCTCATTAGTAATATTAACACAATTTTTGTACATTCGCTTATTGATAACGAAGTAATAATGGCAAAATTGAATGACTAAAGAATTGAACATTGTCGTGCAGAGACTGTAATGTTTGCTAAGTAGAGCTTGTAAGACCTAGAGATGTTTACTAGCTAATGAATGAACATCCTAAATGCTATTTAAAATAATTTAAAACTGACAAAGGGCACTGTGTAAAACAGTGGGTTGCATGAATGTTGGCAAAAGAAGAAAGTGAGGTTTCTAGGTAGTGATACCTACTGACACGTTAGCTTCTTTTCTACAGACCGCTGTTCTAAAATAACTGTAAAGTTTATCCTTATCAATCAAAATAAATATTCATGGGTTAGTATGTGAATGAGGATGTGAGATACTACAGCCATGTGAATGAGTATTATCAAAAGCTGGTAAGGCAATTATAATTAAGATCTATAGCAAAAGTCATAATCTCCTCTGGGTATGTTAAGTAATTGGCCCAAAATTCAAAAACAGATCTAATCTCTTGGGATGTAAAAGAAGAGCTAGTTATTCCATCATTCAGAGAAAACAAACCTTGCTATAATGATTATACATAAACCTTCAAGTGTCCTATAAAGATGAAAGTGAATGGGCAACACCTTAGGGCTAAAACTAGATCTTAATAAAAACAGAAAGGAGAAAAAAATTGAAGTTTTATGAAACAATGAAACTGTCAAGATGGCAAAAACTCCTTCATATCCTCAAGTATGTGGTAAACTAAAAGGGATGTCTGAATATGTGCGGCATCTCAGTTCATGTAAGAGTAGAATGTACATAGGCAGTTTCTTGCGTTTACATTTTTAATCCTAAAAATGTAATCCCACTTCAGTTTTTGTCAACTGCTCATCATCGACCTTGGAATTCTAATTCTCATAATTACTGTGCTCTTTATTTGTGAAGTTATCTGCCAATTTACTTTACCTGAGCTGGCATTCTCAGAATCACGTGTTCCATTTATTTTGCCTGAAATTAATGCTGGTAATAAAAGCACACTATTCTTTCAGTCTTAAGATATGAGGCTAATATTTCTTAACGATTTGTTCAGAGAAACATAATGAAGATTTCTAAAGATGTTCTTATTCTCTGATTTTGTTATATCATGTTTCTGATCAAATTACTCTCTTCTGACTTAGAATGACTATATAAGTTTGTCTTTACTAAGACACAATATTCTTATTGATGCCAGAGACATGAACAGTCATGTTTAAAAGAACAGGTAAGAAGTAAAGTATTGACATTATGGTTACTTTGTGCAAGACTTTATCAATGTAGAATGATAAATGAGAATGATAAATGGAACTGACTTGTAAATATAACATCTTTCCAATTTGTAATTTGAATTGATCTTCTACATTTACTTAAAATTCTTTAATTGCATCATTGCAACAAATTTATAGCCACTCAGGCCTGAAACAGTCTCACCTGAGTAAAGAAATAGAACGGCTCCCTAAGATTACTTCTCTGCAGTGCAATGCGATAAGAACCTCAGAGTGAGTCTTTAATCCCTGCTAATTGGTAGAAATTGGATATTTATAATGTAAAATTACTTTTTAAAATTTTAGATCATGGGTATCTAGGTCAAACTCATGGATATCATAATAGTGATAGCAGTTTATGTTAATATCTTCCTATACACTAATCACTGTGATAAGTGATTTACATATATTTTCTCTCAGTCTTTGAAATGAACCATTGTAGTTAATTGCAAGAAAAAAATTGTTAACACAGTTGAGAATATTAAGGGTTGGAAATATTAAGCATGTTAAATTTTGAGAAAACAGTATCCAAATTAAAATCTTTCTCACACCGAAGCTTTGATGTCATATTTCCCAGTCCTAGATTTTTTCTTCTCTTCTTTTTAAATTTCAGGTGCAAATCTATTAACTGTTCAGAATATTTTAGGTAAAATTTTTTTTTTGGATACTTGTTTTCTTTTCAATGTATTTAGCTTTTAAAATCTGCTATTCTATTTCTTGCCTATTTTTGATTTGTCAAATGAATATAATTGGGCCATTGCATCACTAGGTAACTTACTATTCATTATGGGGTAGGTCTTCAGGTGGTTCTATTGTCTGGGAAGGGTTGTCTAGGGATGTATTTTTGGCAATAAGAGAGCTTTATAAGCCATCTCTAACTGAAAGGAAGTAAAGGGTTCTGCAGATTTCAAGCATATATATTTTTTAAAAATTGAACCAGGTAAATTTTGTTTTTACTTTTATTAAGAAAAAAAAACTGGGGCACATATAAGAAGAGAATAATGGAACATTTTTATCACTAAAAATACTTATAATCCATAAGCATTGCATATTGTTAACAACAGTGCTTTACCCTTTGACCTCTGTAAAAACAGAAAGGCTTTTTTTGTGAATAACCTCTAGATATTTGATGTGCATAATATGTAAAAGTACATAACAATATGTATGAATAATTAGGTGAATAATCTCTAAGGTTAATGCCATCTATAATAACAGACTTTCTTGCAAGTCTATTAAATAAGAAATCTAGATTTTCAAAAACAATTATCATAATACCTAGATCTTTGTTGTTGAGCATGAGTAATTAATGTAAAATAAAGCACTAGAAATGAAACACATTTAAGTATATATACTTCCATGATTCTTGATTTACAGCAGTAACTTTAAAGAAGAAAAACTGTACTGGAGTATTTTCCTGTAGAATAATACATTTCTACTTAGGTCTTTCTTTTATTCTTTTTCTCTTTCTTACTAATCATTTCTTTGCTTTCTTCTCTCCTTCCTTTATTCTTCTTCTGTTTTAATTTACATTAATCTGGATTGGTAAGAATCTTTCAAAAACCTTCTAGTACCATTCCCTTTTCTGCAATGATCCATAAGCTGAATCACAATCACAGGCATTGCATTGGAGGTATTTGACATTGGACATTGAAAATTCTTGGAGATAGTAATCACTTTATGTTTTTTTGCTCCCACTCATGAAAGGTCATCAGAACAAAAGGAAATTGAAGTTACAATTTGTGTGGATATAATCTTGAGTTTTCTATGTGTATTTTTCTTAAAATAAATAATTTATAAACTTTGGTACTCTGTGCGTTGTTAATAACCTAGCATTTGTGGCCTGCCTAAAGACTGAGCATGACCGCTTGTGGGGAAACTCTCAGTGTTTGAGAAATTCTGCACCAAAGCTTAGCTTAGGTGCCCTAGTCTGTCACTGTAGGAGGAGCCAAAGAGTAGAGAAGGGTCAAGTAATGAGATCTAATTAATTTGGTAATTTAAAAAATAAAATTCCCCAAAATATCATAGATAGGTATCACTTATTGAGCCTTGGGAGTGTTCTAAACAATTCACCTGCATCATTTCACACCATCCACAAAACTATAGGAAATAGGTATCATTGTTCTGATCATTTGGTAACTGAGGAGGCTGAGTAGCATGCCTAGTTACAATTCAGAAAGCGGTGAATCATTTGATATCAGACTCCACTGTGAGCTAAAAAATAAAGTGTTAGAAAATACTCAGTTTCTGTATAGCAAAACAAAGAAAAAAGTACGTCTAAATTTAAACTTTTAAAGAATTAGGCAAATACAAATCAAGAAACTCAAATAAAACTGAATAACTCATGTTCCCAAAACAGTATCAAAGCCAATTTCCAGTCTTTTTGGCCTTGGGGAGACAATGAAAAGAGAGCCAGCAGAGTTGAATCCTAGGCATCAGGTTTAATGTTCAGGGAGCACTTAGGAAGAGAAGATTTCTCTGGCAAGGGCATGTCTTCAGGGGAAAAAAAATTTTCATACAAAAATGTTGTTTTGAGGATTATCAATTCACACTAATAGCCTTATATATGTTTTACTAGACAAAAACATTGTTTTAAGGATTATCAATTCAAATTAACAGCATTAGATACATTTATTGTTCTTCACTAAATTAGATAAATATTTTGTTGCCCTGCAGACATCACTTAAAAGTGAAAATTGACCAAAATAATTTTTTCCTCTTACTCCACAGAATTTGGGGATATCTATATGCATTTGAAATATTGTTACATATTTATTAAACTGCTAATATGACTACACCCTTTCCTTGTATGAAGCCATTTGAAAAATAGCTTTACAGATACTATTGTTAATCTATAAAGTAATATAATAAATTAATGGCATTGTCTCTCATTTTTCTTAAAAAAAACTGAGAATGAGAGGGTCTGGATAATTCAGCAGGGTCAGAAATCTTGGAAAAGGACAGTATTAGAATCTGGACTATTGAACTCCAGTATCTACCTAACTTCTCTGAATAACAAAGTCTGTGCTTCCTTGGAGTTCCAGGCCCTGTCTTCTTGATTTGTGTCATATGGAAAAAATCTGAAAAATTTCCTGTAACAAAGGAGTAGGAGACAATGATCAATTTGCTCTATGGAGAAGAAAACTATTCTCTATCAAATGTGTAGTAATTTACCCTATAATCCAAATCATCTAAAACACCTTGAAATGTTTGAGTGAACTTCCCGAGTGAAGGTTGTTTATTGAGTTTTATGAAAAATGTATTATATTAAAAATGTATTTTATGAATCATATTATCACAGAATGTATACATTGTAGGTTTATAATCTCCCTGCTTCCTTTTCTTTACAATAGAAACAGACTTTATTTCTGTTAAGGAATGGTGTGAATACATATAGGAATTTGAATTATATTGTTTATTTTTAATCTAAAGAGCAATTGATCTATGACTGAGTGTTAACATCACATAAATTATTATTTTATTTAAAAATTTACCTAAACATACTTTGAAGGTTTTTTTTTTTTCATCTTGAAGGATCTACAGTAGGATGGTTTCCATAATGGATTTCACCATGCCTAAGAAGTTTTTCCAGATGCTGGTTTTTAATTTGACTCTGATTCAAATTGTTCTAGGTGGAAATGTGTTAATTTGGCCTACAGATGGTAGCCATTGGTTAAATATTAAGATTATTCTAGAAGAGTTGATTCAAAGAAATCACACTGTGACTGCACTAGCTTCATCAGCAACACTATTCATCAACTCCAATCCTGATTCTCCTGTGAATTTTGAAGTGATACCTGTTTCCTACAACAAGAGCAATATAGATTCCTTAATTGAGCATATGATAATGCTGTGGATTGACCATAGACCAACTCCTCTCACAATATGGGCTTTCTACAAAGAACTAGGAAAATTTCTAGATGCTTACTTTCAAATTAATATACAAATCTGTGACGGTGTACTAAACAACCCCAAGTTAATGGCAAGACTTCAGAAAGGTGGTTTTGATGTGTTGGTAGCAGACCCAGCAACAGTCTGTGGTGATCTCATTGCTCTGAAATTAGGAATTCCATTTATATACACATTGAGGTTCTCTCCAGCATCAACAGTGGAGAGACACTGTGGGAAAATCCCAGCACCAGTCTCCTATGTACCTGCAGCCTTGTCAGAGCTCACTGACCAGATGACCTTTGGTGAAAGGATTAAAAATATCATATCTTATTCTCTGCAAGACTATATATTTCAGTCCTACTGGGAAGAATGGAATTCATACTATAGCAAAATTCTAGGTAAGTCTACAATTTTCTTTTTTTAATGATTCCACATCCCTTATTTATTCTTATTGTCTTATGATAAAAGATTTCCATTCCACTGCATATGCTAAGCTGAAGATAATGGACTTTTATGTTTCTGTATATACAATTCCCTGATTATTCTCTTTAAATAAATCCTTAAAAATGAAATGATGGTGTTAATATGTATGCTATTGTCTCAATGCAAACAACTTTGTACATATTTAGGTCATAGCTTTTCAATGTATAAATCAATTTCAAAATATAAATGAAAGTGCCTTTGTTAGTATACATTATAGCAATACTGAAAAAATAACCTGGCAAATATTTTTGAGGTAATACATGATTTACTGTCCTCCTTTGTCCTTCATTCTTTTCTTTGTCTGCAGAAAGCTTTGAAAAGCATAGAATCAGGCAATAGAAAACCAGAGTTTACACTCTACCCTGGTTCTCACAGTCTCTCTATCTTTACACTTTTCTGTGTACTTGGCACCATCTCTCAATTCAAATTCTCTCTATCCTTTTGCCAGCCTCACATTTCCTTGAGTGAGAGATTCCTTATGAGAATCAAACAAAATAATATTAACAATCAAGGCCAGTCCTGATAGATTGTTTATATTACTTATTTTTCCTGGCTTTTGTGAGCCTTCCTTTATATTTTTATTTCCTTCTCTCTTGAATGGTTTTGCCTCCAGATCTCTTAATAGTACTCAAGACATTAATTAATAGCAGGAAGTAACAGATGATGCTACCATTGCTACTTTCTTACAGAGGTAATATACAAGATCTTTTTACATACCTTTTGACTTGCCGTCCTTTCTCCCTCTTTCCCCTAGGCATTCTTCCCTCCCTCCCTCCCTCCCTCCCTCCCTCCCTCCCTCCCTTCCTTCCTTCCTCCCTCCCTCCCTCCTTCCCTCCCTCCCTTCCTTCTTTCTTTCCTTCCTTCTCTCCTTTCTTCCTTCTTTTTCTTTTCTTCCCGACTTCTTTCTTGTTCTCTTTGTGTAAAATAACTATTTGTTGAATGCCAGCTTAGTTCCTACAACTTGTCTAAGTAGTAGGAATGCAACAATAAACAAAACAGATCAAAATCTCTACTCTACCTCATGGAACTTACATTCTAATAAAAGGAGACAGAGAATAAATAAAAGAAATATATAAAATATATGGATATTAGCCTGTGAAATATGCTATGTAATTAAGTAAGAAAAACAGATAGTTCTTAGAGAGAGGTTGTGTATTTAAACAGAGCAGGCAGAGAAAGTATCATATGAAAGAATGACATCAGGTCAAAGACCTGAAAAAATGGAAAGAGAATCCATAAGATCCCTGGAAGAAAAGCCTTTTAGGGGAAGGTAAGAACAAGCACAAAGACCTGTGGCAAGTCATATAAGCAAGAGTACTCTTAAACTAACTTCATCTTACTCTTATCTTTCACAAGTGTAATTGTGTATATCTTTTTTCTTTTTTTGATATTGCAGAACTCTTGCAATAATTTTTCATCAAAAACTTTTCAACTTTTTCATGGAATTTTTCTAAAGGAAAGATTAAATGTATCACATATAAAATATATGCAAGGTAAATAAAATTTAAGTTTATTTTTGAAGTTATGGTAACTAGAATTTTATAAGTATAGTTCTGTGTTTTAAAAATTCCCATAAGGCATAATTTAACTTTTTTTCCCCTGGCTTTCAAATTTTATATGCCTTCAAACCACATTTTTATTTCAATTTAGATATTATTCACATGAGTACGTATCAAGGCATTTGAAATGCATTCTATAATAATTATCACTACCCAGGTATGTATTAAATACTGATCATTTTAGCTACTGGATGAGTTAATAATCTATACTCCTTAACTGTGATCTCAGACAAATAACTGAAACTTTTGAGTCATAGTGCTTTCTCTTCTTTAAAATAGGGTTAAAATTTTCACTGTACTCTTTAGGAGGATCATATGACATTTTATGTGATATGTCATGTCAATTATAAATAATTATACTTTTATTAAATATTATTTACAAACTACTTAAGAAGTCTGCAATGATAAAACCCTAGTTACATTACCATGGGGCTCTGTAAATGGGAAGTAGCCAAAAAAAATCTGCAAAAAATAATTGGTTTCTGGTATGTACTAAACCTTCCTTTTCAAAGGAAGCCATAACAAATTAGATAAGTGTGAAAAAGCCTTTGTAAAACAGCAAGTTCCCAACTTCTCACCTTTACAGAATAATAATCTAGGTTCAGAAATTCTATCATTTAAGAAATTAAATATCCTATTTACTTAAATTCTTTATGCTTCTCATGTTACTAAATATTTGAACAACAAATAACTACCTTGAATATTTTATTTCAAATAGAGGCATACTGGGAAGAACTGGCAAAACCCTGTTTTCAGTTTTGTTATCACATTTCTCAAAGGATTAAGAACACCTGGTAACTGTAAACTGATATTGAAAGAGGGCAGATGCACAATTTTACATTATTATGTTTGACCACAGGAGAGCTAACAACATGTCACATTTCTGTGGAGTTTCCATTACAATAGTTGTTCTTCAGTTTTGTGTAAGGAAAATAGACTAAAGAAATAATATGTTAAATTGTGGTAAAGAAAAACTCCAAATGTCTTGAAGGACATAGGAAAAGTACAAGGACATATTCGATCGAACTAGTTAAAAAATTTGTTTTTTTTATATCAGTGAGGAAGTCTTAAATCTTCCAGATGAAATGAGTAAAATAATTAACATTTAATGAATACCTTTAATAGCTAATGGAACAAGGGTATCAGGAATTATGAAAATTATTGCCACTCATATCCAGAAGTGAATCTCTTAATAAATTTTGTGCAGGCCAAGGGTTCTGCATGCCATCATCAAATTTAACTGAACCTTATTTGAACCTTATTTCTCCTCTCTCTCTCTCTCTCTCTGTCTCTCTTTCTCTCTTTCTCTCTGATAAGAACTCTCACTCTATTGCCCAGGCTAGTGTGCAGTGGCAGATCTCGGCTCACTGCAACCTCCCCCTCCTGGGTTCAAAGCAGTTCTCCTGCCTCAGCTTCCGAAGTAGTTGGGATTACAGGCCCGCCACCACACCAGGCTAATATTTGTATTTTTAGTAGAAACACGGTGTCACCATGTTGGGCAGGCTGGTCTTCAATTCCTGACCTCAAGTGATCCTCCTGCCTTGGCCTCCCAAAGTGTTGGGATTACAGGTGTGAGCCACTGTGCCTGGCCTGTGAACCTTATTTCTTCCTCAACTTCTGAGAGAACTGCTGTACAGCACATAGATAGTTCTCACTGTAGAATTTGGGACTAGCCTTTGCTGCAGCAATCGAAAGGTTAAGCTCTTGATCACTGTAGTGAAAACTGTTAGACAGGTAAGGCAACTGGAAACTGGATGGCTCCATTTTCTCCTGTGTTTTTGGGGTTTCCAGGCTGTCTTCATCCATCCCAGAGAGTTGTAGATTGGAAGAGCAGAAAGCCCTGTACTAAGCTATATGACACTTGGCTGGTGTAATCTAGTTTTAACAGTCAGTGCTATGGTGGTCCCTCTTTCCCTGCTGATAGATTTTATTTACTCATTTTTTTTTGGCATTTAATATTTAATTTAAATCTAAACTTTAATCCTTACTCCTCTTTTAAAATTTCTACATATTTTTATTTTTAATTTTTTTTGTGAGTATATAGTAGTGTATATTTAGAGGGTACATGGGATGTTTGGATACAGGCATGCAATGTGAAATAAGCATATCCTGAAGAATGGGGTATCCAGCCCCTCAAGCATTTCCTGCTGAGAAATTTTAAATGGATTCCTAGAACTAATGTTACATTCCCAGCCCATGAAGAAAACAAATATCTTAACAGTCGATGAGAACTCCAGCACAATATTAGATGAAAATGAGAGTAATGGGCATCATCTCATTTTAGATGTCAGTGGAAAAATAATTCATTATTTACCATTAAGTGTGATGTTTGCCATAGGCTAATTGTAGATATGACTTATTAGATTGAGGAATCTCTCTTTTTCTTTTTAATTCAAATAAATTTTTATTGTAAAGGGATGATAAATTTTATCAAATGTTTTTATGCATTCATTAAAATTATTATATTATTCTTCCCTTTGTTCTGCCAGTATGGTAAAACATATAAAGTGATTACCAGTTTTTGAATCAACATTTTACTTTTTGAATAAACTCCAATTAACAAGCCTTTTAACCTTCTCCTCTATCCAATTTGTCTGGAACTGAGCTAGATTAATTATTCATATATTATTTGTATTTTATCTGTAGTTTCTTTTCCAGGCACAGTGTTTTATTTATTGGCTCTCTCCGTTTCTTATCCCCACTCCAATTCTCATTCTCTGCTTCCCACCCTTTTCCTGGAAAACTTGGAGCTTTCTGTTAATCTTTTCTCACTTAAGGCTTTCAAGTCCTTCTTACATGTAGCTTTCCTGTGATCAGTGTGTGGGTTTTCCAAATTTTGTGTAATCTTTCTGTAAAACATAAATTCTAAACTTTATAGTTCATTGAAGTTTCGCAAAATAACCCCACCCTTGCAACCGGCACCCAATTAATACGCAAAACATGATTGCAATCCGTAGCTCTTCTTCTTTCCTTTTCTTAGTCCCCACAACTCCTATCTAAGGGCAACCACTTTCTTGGCTTCTAATACCATAGATCAATTTTCCTTAAGGAACAACTGGTACCTTAGTATATGGTTGTGTGTCCAATTTATAAACTGTCAAGAATCTCTAGTGCATAGTGTATTCCTTGATTAAAAATAAAAGTTGTCTTAAATATAGTTACTTCTTTTTAAAAAAAGATAATCACTAAGGATGATTTCCATATTTGCTACTGTCATGCTTAAGAAGTTTGCTGGCCGGGCGCGGTGGCTCAGACCTATAATCCCAGCACTTTGGGAGGCCGAGGCGGGTGGATCAAGACCATCCTGGTCAACATGGTGAAACCCCGTCTCTACTAAAAACACACAAAAAATTAGC